TCAAAACCGCAACTTTTTGTATAAACTACGTAATTATATTAATGTGCCTTTATGGATTTATTTAAAGAGCTTTCCTTTGTTTTCTTAGTTTTAGTCATCTCATGGGGAAAACCTAAAATTGGATTGTAAATGTAACGTATGCAACTGCCATTATGCAATTCCCTATAAAATAGGTGTGGCGACTATAATGCAAGAGTAGGATAATTTTCCTGACGCCAATGAAGCAGCGGTTTCCTTTGGATCGTTAAGGAAATTTTTTGTCAATCTTTAAAACTCTAAATAGTCATTTGCCTTTCTTAATAATGGATTTATAATTATGGATTTAGAACTAAGCCAATATTATTATATCATATCTCTTCATATACCTTAATTCGTTTTCCTACCAGGTAGACCCAGAATCTTGCTCAATGACAAAATATTATTTGCATACCTTTCCTCCTGTTACCGATACAGAAATATTAAAAAAATAAAGACACGAATGGGTTGGTGAGCAAAAGTCCCTAAGTCACACAGCTTGTGAATCAGCCGCTAAGTATTAAATAATTGCACAATTTGTCTGAAACAATACTTACAATAAGCAGTAAACAATATTTCGTAACTGGGAGCTTTTTAATACCAACAAAAATGTTGGCTGGAAATCTGACGAGAAAGCAGAAACCCCAATAACATGCGACGTTTCATGGAAAAATATTAATTTGTAACAAGAGTAATGTATCAGATAACATAATGCATATACTCTTTCTAATGTGCTCAATGCCGAAGCTGTGCGTAATGCCGAATTTGGGCAATTCTCTGGAATTTTTTTAAGCAAAGGTGATTGTTGTGAATATGGAAAGGGCGACTGTTCTCTTCCAAATTTGAATTTCGCCTAACAAGCTAACAGCAATTTCACAAATTCAACGTATAACATTGTCATTATGAGGATACGGATGAAGGATACAGATGAACAATATGAGGATACAGAGAGGCCTCGTTAGGAATCAGTACATATTTATACGCTTGCTAAATACTATGGAGTCCTGTAAGTAATAATAGCAGGCGTAAGCAGACGTTAAGAGCAAATAAAAATGCAGTACTCAGAGGTATCTGTTTAGCACGCGCACCAGTGGTCGGGAAGATAGAGTAGTTCACTATAGGTAATTCGACTCTCGTCGGACTTTCAGGGAGAGGACTGATTGCATGGGGGTTCTTGTGGTTTTCTCAAGTGTACAGTGAATGTAAGCTAGATTCATTTATAATATATTTTATGAAGGCATCAATTCGTTTGGATAAACAAATCATGTGTGCTTTGCCATAATCGAAAAATAAAATTCTTTTTAGCTCTGTTTACTGACAAAAGTTTTGCATCTTACACCTGTGTGGTCAGGTAGCAAAATCTGGGGTCACGGTCTCCGAGACAGCCAGAAGCAGACGCTGAATATCTACTAATGCATTTCGAAACATTTTGAGTAGTCTCAAGTAAAAAAACAAAAATACATGTCGATCATTTTCCCACAGTTTTAAATCTAATGAACTGAGCTTGTTCTCCCCCTGTATTGATCATTGCTCCAAGGCATACTGTATTTTAATTTTAAACAGTGATTGGTAAACAAACTGCAGGATTAATGATGACATATTGCATTTCAAGCAACGCAGTTCATATTCCAAAAAAGGGATGTAGCCAAATAAAAATAACAACAAAAGGACTGTTGTTAAATTAAAGTAAGTAATTTTCCTTCAAATTTAAAATATAACATATTCCCCTCCTTTCTTCAGATAGGAAACAGCTTGGTGACATAAAAGCATTTTCAGTAAAACGTATTAAAGGAAATGAAGACAAATTTTTACGATATGTATAATATGTGCTCCTTTAATGAGAAATAAAATGATTTTCTTTCCAAGCACGTAGATTTCAGAATTCCCCATGCCCTGACATTTTCTTCGTGAATTTTCTCACATCTTAAAGATAAGAATATAATTTGGAATTAAAACTCTGCCATCTAAAGTAAATGTACTCTCCAATGTTTAAAAGTCTGTAATATAATTTTCTCTACAAATATAAGTTTTTTAAAGTTCTTGAAATATTCTCTCCCACCATTCTAAAGATTGTGTTAAATCTGAACTGTAACTGGCTGAAATTTTTTTGTGTAAACAGAAATATAAAAGCGTGTTATTTATTTACATAAGATATTAATTAAACATTTATACCGAGACACTTACGTAGTTTAGAAGTCCAAGGTAAAATACTAATAAACGTTAAACACGTATTACCAAACGTTAGAGCACTAACTGAATTCCTAGATACTTTTATACAAGTATTACTTGCTTAAATCAACAGAATTTAAAATGGAACATTCAGGAAAAAAGTTTTGGATAAATGAAGACAAAGTTTAAAACATTGCGTTAAAATACTCTGTGAATCTTAAACACAACAGAAAATTGCGATATCCAATATAAATATGTAAATCAGCTGGTGCGCATAATAAATACGCTATTATACAATACTACATTTCTCCTAACAGACGATACTAATGATATTTAGTATTAAAGCAAAATTTATTACTGCAAAGTATGATATAACTGACAAAAAAAAAAAAAAAAAAAAAAAAAAAAAAAAAGAAAAAAAAAGAAAATTGATCATCTAGACGCAATGAAGGCCACTGAAGAAGACTTGATGTACTTTGTGAAACTATAAACGGGTGCAACCAATACTGACTTTTGTTCCTTCGGTATTGGGTCAACGTATTTGCAAGTAAGAAAAATAATGCTCACGAGCAAAAGCCATTGTATAGCTTTGTTTCTTTGTTTTAAAATAATATTTTCATCTTTATAGAATTTGCATTCTCATTGATTTTAATATCAAACATGCACTGATTGTGCCTGCAACTAAGTATAAATTTTGACAAATCCTTTAATATACATGTAAACAACTTATCACAATGTCCAAGATGAAACAGATCTTAAAAAGGGTGTAAATGATCGTTTTATTCAGAACTCAATAATTTAAGAGAATGCCCTTCTTGTGTTTACAAAAAAAAAAAAAAAAAAAAAAAAAAAACTAACATTTATGGCGCATTTCAGACTGACAGAATTTCAAATTAAAGATAAGTCTTAAGTTATACAAAGGCTACACAGAAATAAATAACGCGCAATTGGCTCAAACCTATACCGACGTGACAAGCACTGTTGGCAAGAATAAAGCAGCGGGGAAGACAGACAGATATTGTAGAAATTTAACTAGTCAAGTGGCTTTCCACAGCCGGAACACGCTCTGATTTAACAAGCTAAAGCCTTCTCTTTAAAAATAATATCTCTTTCCACCTCATTTGAATATGTGCGAAGTAAAATTAGCATTCTGGCAGGAAAACGGAAAGGGAGAATGACAGTAAAGCTGCTTAATATAAAATAACTGATTAGACTGTAGAGTTATTAGGTTTCTTTGAATTAAGAGAAGTGAAAAATGAGCGGAACTGGAGCACCGGACTTCTGGAATACGCGTCGATTTGCTTCCAATTACACCATTCCAATTACACCATTATGAAGGCATGCTGAAAGGAAAGAGAAAATATTTTATATACTCCCCCTTTTAAAGTGAGACAGGGAACTAGGAATCGCCAAATCCTAGTGGTAGCGAATTATCATCCACCCCCTTTTATTTCTGGCGCCACTGTAAAAGTGGGAAACCCTTTCTAAATCCATTGCCGGGACATCTAAAACCATTGCCGGGACTCGAACGCTGGACCTTTCGCATGCGCATCGTATGCGATTCGTACTGTAATTGTATGCTTCCAATTACAGTACTAAAGCATGCGGAAAGGAGGAAGAAAATATCTTATAAGATAAAAACAAATGAATCTTTACAACCGCAATATATTTTTTTATCTATTATGTTATTTATACATGACTTATCGTACAACCTAGTACTGCCATTTTTATTTTTTAATGATATAATTTTACTATCAAAAGTAATAAATTATGTGCGGTGTTTTTATGCCCGTATTTTATGGCTCCACATTTTCTATGAAACATCACCTTTGCTTAGAATATCTCCTTTAATGTTTCTTGTGATCTGACATTTTTACTTAGCTCATCAGCACACAGTCTATTAATGCCAAACAACTGGGTCTCCTAATAGAACAAATTTTCATGTTACCAGTTTAAACAATGTTTCTGATCAAAAAATAAAATTCTTAGTATTAAGGTGAAATATTACGTATGATACCGTCAGTATTATTCACCAAATGTATACATTTCATATTAGAACGTGCAGTGACAAAATGTATTCTTTCTTTTTATTTGTATTTTAAACATATATTTACTCATATGTAATGTTTTTCTTCGTTATTTATTATTAATAGGGCATAAAAATCTTAAAATATCAATTTGCCTTTGATCATTTCTGATAAATTAACGTTTCTTAAGTGTTACAAGTACAGATATGTTTTCTTCAATTTTTGGTCTTATGAAATTTTATTTTTAGATTATATATGTGTACAAAAGTACACTGCCATGCTTTGTACATGTAACAGAAGTTTAGATATAAAAATAGATTTTTTAGTCATATATCAGATGAAATTCCACGCAAAGTAGGTATGGTAAGGCTTCTGAGAGCTTTTCCATCGGTTATAGTTTCCTGAATTCAACTAAATTTCCTTTTCGCTTTCATGTTTAATAAAACCTACTAATAATCTTTTAATTGCACATTCATGTACAGTAATAAAAGTTTTTAGCGCACTGCTTACATTAACTGAGTGGTAATATTTGAGGCGACATGTCAAAAAAAGAAAGACCTTCTAGAATTAAAATCAAATCAAAACCACCCTCTGTCCTATAACTCAATATCGGACCCAACAACACCGGACAAGAAAATCGAGTTATAATGGTAATCATCCTCCCTCTTCCTACGCTTCCCTAATTCTTGCGTCTGACAACCCCATTATGCAAATGAGCACTGCGCTGCTAACGCCCTCTGACGGCATCCACCCCCTCCAAAGTCGTTCCTTCACTCGGAGACTCGCAGGCGACAACGATCGTCTGCTGAGTGCGAGCCCACCAAGACACACTCAGAAAAATAAGAAATAAAGAGCATGAAGCACACAATAGTTAGTTCGAAAAGTGCTTTCTGAAGGCTGTGTTAAAGAGGAAACGACTTCGGATTGCCTTTCGGGTGCTGCCGTGAACATCCAGATTATTCGATCAAGTTCTACGCTTCTCGAAAGAAATGTCCATTGGATCTATCGGTGCCATGAAAGGGGCGATGGTGATGGCTGCCCAAGACCAGAATGGTCCCGAGTAAGTTTAACGATTATCCCATTTTATTCTTTCAGAAATTTTCGCATTCAGAACTACACAAAAATAAAAACAGTTTTTATTTTTTGCCAACTATTAATTCGTTTTGAGGCACGTAAATAATTACGTGAGCTAATTAATCATTTTACCAACTTAAAAGAAGTTTACTGGAAGATATTAACTATGTTAATAATTAATTTTATAGATTGTTATAATATTTAAATGTTTTCATAAAATGGAGATTTCATAAAAGTAAATTCACAAAAACTCTCCCATTTGACAAAGAGTTAAACATCATTATTTGCCATGAATTTTTGATCGTTTCGCTAGCCAAGTTATTGATGCCATTTAGATATAATATTTCACAAAAATAAAAATAAGGTTGAGAAGAATTAGATAAGTTCGAATATGATCTTTAAGAACAGGATAATATTATAATAACACTCCTTGTTTATCAATATAATTTGTTCACTCTTTCCTCTTTTATATTTGTTATTTACACGTGTTCTTTCCTGTTCACCTGCCTATGAATCCTTCTCAGACATAACCGAATTTCTATCCAATCATTTCTTCTTTCTAATTAGAAATTCAGTTATCATAATTAGAAAATTTCTCCCTTTTAATTAAAAGCACTTTTGTACTTTTCTAGCATAGTATGCTTGTATCTTAAAGAAATATAAGATTGAAGTAATGATTTTTCCTTACCTGTTTTAAAATGAAAGCCCTGTATTTTGAATGATAAACTAATCTGGAAAATTAAAACGCAATTTATAATATCTAAGTTGTTAAAGTTGCTAATTGTTTTTTCTGATCTTTTTTGTCTTTGACAGTTAGGTGTCATTTGACATTCCATTAACTTTATTCAACAATATTTAACACTTGTTAGCTATAAATAACTATCAATACCCTATACACTACTGCGTTATTCGTCAAAGTGTGGAGAGGCATACTAATAGCATATACTGTCATTTCTTCTACTAATGTTTTTATGCAAAAAAAAATTTCTTTGTTATTTTTTTAAATTGTACAATTATTATGTTGTTGCATATGAAGAACTCTTTCATTCACATTTAGTAGCATGTGAAACGTTAGCATCAGCGTATTTTAATGAAACCCAACTGTACGGGTCCCTAATGTTTAACTCTGGCTATGTGAAGACATCCAGGCGACTTATCGCCTCGTCGGTTTCTTTCAGTACACTAGTACTAACTCAGGAGTAGGTTTAAAACAAACGTTTTCATCAGTTTTTTAGCCTAATAATATACAAATTTCGTGTAGTAAGAAAAACATTCCATTGCTTGTAGGATTTACGGAATCCAGAAGTTAAAGGACATTGTAAATATTCAAAATGGGATATTTCCTAAGAGAAACTGAAGTTATATATTTTGGATCAGACGCTTAATTCACGTGAACAAACAGGGCTAGCACAAGCTGTAGCTGATTTAAGAAAACTTCTTAGCTGGGAGAAAATAACATCGAGACGATCAGCGGTCGTTGCCAAACCGCCCTCTATTAAATTCAAGGGCTCAGTTAGTATACACCTCTACTAATTCGCATCCTGATGGAAGCCGACGATTTCTTATCATTTTCCTTATAGTAAAAAGCAATACTATAAGCAAAATAATAAGAAAAATGGTTAATAAACCTAAAACGTTACGCAATGGCATTTTTTGATTCTGTACGTTAAAATCCGATTGTCCCATAATTAATTATCACATTTTAGGTCTAAAAAGTAATTCTTCAGCCTTAAGCAAAATAACTCAGGAAATCAGCTTCAAATTAATCTTTTAGGCATCAAGACTACAACTCTGTGTGCTGATTAACCAAAAAGTACTAAATGAGAATTCCAAACATTATTGCATATTCGAAGTAATACTTACATTCTAAATTTTCATTTATTCTAAGTATAACTTAACAAAGCAGCAGAATAAATTATCTAAGATTATTTTGATATGGTTAAGTGGAAGTTACTTCAAATTAAATAATTGCGGAATTCGAATTTTTCTACTAATACTTGTCTATTACCTTTTTGTTACTTTCAATACACAAAATGCTTTTGGAAGACTTTCCTTTGCAAATAACAAGATGCAAATAACGTACAGAGATAAGCAAACATATAGAATTCAATAGTAGAATCAGAATTTAGAGTACTTTTAAAAAATAAAGATGCCTTTAAAACAGCGGTTATTTCGTCACTCTATTGTTAGTTATAAATTCGGTGCTCCAAATGTTGGGAAATGTTCGTTGACTGTTCAGTACACAGAAGAGAGGTCGTAATCCAAAAACTATGCATAGTTTGCGAAGATGGGTGTTTTTAAATTCACGCAGGCTAGCAAAAAGAATTTTACTGCAAATGATTTTCTCTGCATATATATGAACTACGCAGTAAAACCAGCTTACCCAAGATATAGGCTAGAACGAACAACGTAATAAAACGATAACAAACAACAGTGCTAGTGAATGCTTACTTTGATTTACTGAGTTTATATTCAGTAAAATTATTGATTATAAAGTTAAAAACCACGTAATTATGTGCGAAATCGTTAAGACGTGCAATTTTTGTTACATAAATTATCTGACTCTCTAAACCAGGTGCATCTTATAAAATTCACAAATGGGTAAAGTTCGACTTTGTAAACGGCTTACAACTTTTGCCAAAAATAGGAAATAATTATATACAGAGGAAGGTTTTTTAAATAGTTAAATACTCATTCGAATTCTTAAAAAAAATGATTCCAAAGCATTGTGATTTGAGCTTAAAATAATACCAAGCGTCTATGCACTGATGTTAGCTGTAAAAATGTATATAGTAAACTCTTTCAAAGCAAGAAATTTTCTTAATATAACAATTTCAACTATTAGTTCCACATATTTTCTTATTTGAAAATTAATTTCTTTACTGAATATAATTTATATTATGACTAATTACGTGTATTAAAACGCTTTAGCAGTTTTGTAGCTACTTTTATTGTACTTGTGCAAAATTTAAACAAGGTTTAAATTTTTGTCTCTCATTGCTGGGTTTAATTAAAATACGAAAGCAAGTATCAAAATTCTCAGAAAGACATTCTATTGTCTCTGCCCTACAATAAACTTAGCGGGGGAGGTTTGGCAGCCACCGGAGTTTTCACCTACGCATTTACCGCCGGTGAGTTGCGGCGTCTCCTCGAGGCATTTCCGGGGGGCCGATGCAAGGCCGCCCGCTCTTTAGCCGTCACGTGGTTAATAGACCTGACTCAATAACGTTTGGGGGATTTTTTTTTTCATATAATAAGAGCATCAACATTTTTAAATGAATCCTTCAGATTATAGTTTAATACCTGAAATCTGAAAGCTCTTTTGACAGCTAAAACACATTAATTAATTTTAAAAATGAATTTTTTATGATAATATGAAGTATTTAATTCTGCATGATATTAAATTATCTCTGAATTGAAAAGCTACAAATAGTTTCAAATTAAACAGTTCTGAGATAGAACCAGCAAGAAATCATGCAAATAGTTTGTTTTACCTTTCAAATAAGGAAACAGGCGACTGTTGCCATTTAATAAAAGCTTAATTTCCCGTGTTTTTTATTTTGTTAAAACTGCATGCTCTTAATAATGCGGTTTATTTTAACAGATAAAAGTTCTAGAACTAGACGTGTTCCTAGCAACATCTGTGAACACTGTAATAGTAATCTCTTTTATATATAACGAATAATACAACTAAGATATCTGTTTGTGTTAAGATTTTGTGTATTTCATAATATATTTATTAAATTATCATTTATACCAAAATTCAGTTCTACATATTTTACCCATTTCATATATTTTTTTTTTAATTTGTGAAAAAGATATTTTACATTGAGCTTTTTATTTAGTTTTTTTGAAATATCATGTCCAGTGGTAATAACATTCCATACTGGAATATTTTCTTTCATCGTATATAAAAGCGACTTTAAGTAGAAAGTATTTGAGTAGAGACACGAGTAACTTTTGCTTTCAAGTTTAAGGTATGTAAGATTTTTTCTCCAAATATCATACGATAGACCGTTTTCCCAATGATCTGTTCCGAACAATGTTTTTGATGTGTTAATATTAATGTTAACTTATCTAACACATGGAGAGGATTAAATATTTTTTACTCTAAGTTGATATTAACTTTTTAAGTGCACAGAGAAAACTAAAAGCTTTTGACTGTTCAATTATATGTCTGAGGCTGTTTTGATTATTTTTATTTTCGAAAATATTACTTGTAAACCTAAACATTGATTAGGTGAGTGCATGCATTCTATACACTTTTATCCTTGCCGTTTTTTCTTGGGGGGGGGGTAGAAAACTTTTTGCTTCACCTTTCTCAATCATATTAACCAAAATGTTGATGTTATTGTTAAAACCGAAAAAATCGTTAAAATACCAATGGATAAGTGCTAAAGTAGTTCGCAGATAGCAAATAATTAAATTAGATCATCTTAATAATGCTTATAACATTTTACTGATTACATTACTGGAATTTTAAAATTCACTGTTTTAAGTAAATAAAAAATAACATTCCAAAATCAAAGTTCTAAAATTTTAGGATCGCATTTTAAATTGTTATACAAGTGTTGCCATCCATAGCCTCAAAACAAACAATAATTTAACTAACATTTTTATATTTTCCAGTATTTTGGCGCATTAACAGCTTCATAAACTTTGTGACTGAACAAGCCAGAAAAGCAAATTATATTAACAAATAATGCCAAACTTTTTTTTACAATTTCAAGCAGTAGCAGTTTTTGCAGGGAACGATACCCTAGCAAATGTGGATAGCTTCATTCATTTGAATCCCAGATATAACCAGTATAGCGAAAAACACTTCGTAAACGTAAAAATTGATCATATGAGTGATATACATCGCACATACATTTTTTTCTCTTCGCCTTTTCTGAATATAACATTTTCCTTACAGTCATTCCTCCATCTATCTTTCTCATAATTTTTGAATTAGCTTGATTGTAAGTATATATACATAAAAACCAT